CAATATAAATTATCGTGTTCTTTGTCGCGATCACTACATATACGTGCATTGGTGTGGTCGATATTCATTGTAATACTCGCAGAATTGCAATCGCAATACGGCTTTCGTTCTGAATATTCATTCGTGTTCCTAATAAAGGGGAAGTAAACATCAAAGTAACGTGCTTCTTCTTAGAAAGACTAACGTGCATGAACCACTGCCATAAATATGTCGAATACTGCCAAAAGAAAGCAACGAATAGTAGTTATTCTAAAGCCATATTCATATAATTGGCGTGTGTAGACAATTATTTGTATATCTGTCATATTGAAGTTACTATCGGTGCCAACATCAACTCTATCTAGATATGCACTCATATAAATTTCATACAATCTGGATTAAAGCAAGATAGGAAGAAGACACAATGTGATCGTCTACAAAGACTGGTCACGAGACATAGGCAGATTAGGCTTACAAGCAACGATGTGATTCTCTTTATGCTTCTGAGGATCTTTGTTATGGAACTATCGGCTGCAATCAGTTATTTTACACAGTATCCCATTTTATCACGTACAAAGTAATCAAATTTCTTGATAAGATTGATCCAGTGCTCTAAAAGCCAGCGAGAATGATATGAGATTCGAGTTCGAATTATTTCAAGTCTAATTGTACAGTAAGTTACGAAAAACAATGAATATTCGTAATTAGCAATCTTTCTCTGCTCTTGAAAGTCTAACGGAAATGTTGAAAACTATTGGAAATTCGTAAACTATTATTATATTCTTCAAAATCCCAAAAGAAACTTTTACAGAATGCTTGAATTATCTGGTATTCACAGAATTGCTGTCATATTGTTAAAGTTATTCAAAGTGTTGCAAGCAAACAAACAAATACACAAATTCTCTTTAAAAAAAGTGACTCCAAATCTGAAATGAACGGGAAACTAGGACGTCGAGCTGCACAGTGGCTCAGCTATCATTAAGCAGCATTTTTCATAATTGTGCTATTAATTTAGGCTGATCGCTGATAGAGTCCTATTTACCCCACTGCTACTGCAATAAAGGAACTGAAAGAAATATTTAATGCAGTTTTTCAATTTGTCTGACGAATATAATGTTTAAACAAAAATTGAATAACAAATACACGAGATGAAGTCAAACAATATCGTGCTTCTTGGACTTCCATTGCATTTTAAATGCGGAAAAGTGGACTGATTTCAATGAGTGCGGTGCGGGCTATCATCCTGCGAGTATCTGTCCGACGAACAAGCCGCCATAAATAGATTTCAATATTGTAGTAAAGACAATTTAAAAACATCTACTACAATTGATTTAATGCGTTTTTTTATGAAGTCCAGTTGACGATATCGTTCGCACTAACTTCAGCACGCTATATAAACTCTCTATCAACGGTCAAACAAGAAAAGCTTTAACGATTTACCCTGGTAAACATTGTCTCTCCTGATACTAAGTATATATTTCTCCTTCTTTATATAAGCCATCGCATCCACATCTGTTTCGTTCTCTTTCAGCAGTCATAGACATTTCAGAGAATATAATAGCGAAGGAATAAGATAGAAGAGATAGAGCACGAGACACATAACATTCTTTCTTTTCTTGTCTTCGTCTTTTTCTCCTTCCTTCGGGTCGATCGTTTCTTCGCTCTTCTTCTTCTTTTCGCAGTACGACAAAAAGAGCTTACCTTATGTATGTTTTTCGAACGCTTACAATTACGACATACTTCTTATCTTCGACGTGCTCGTCTACGAAAAATATCAACTACATCGATACGCACATTTACTGTAGAAACATATCGTTACAAGCGATAACTATTTTTCCACAGTTCTTTCTCTTCCGCGTACGTGTTGTACACAAGTCGGATATAGTTTGATAAGTCACACAAAACAATTAGTTTTGCTGATCGTCGCCAATGGCAGAAACTACGACTGAACGTGCTATTGATGGAAAGACATTGCAGTCATCAAATCTCAAAATACTTAACAACTTCGACGACTACTTGGTAGCTATTGTGGGCATCGAAGATAAACAACACTTTCTTGAGCAACTTCCGACGATGCTTAACAACGATCGTTTCCAATCGTTTGATGATATCAAAAACAGCCCTGTTTTCGTTCATTCTGAATTAGAGACTGATGTTTTCTTAATCATTTCTGGTACACTGGGAAAACAATATCGTGATCAACTTATACTGGAAAGGCAACTAAAATGTGTATACGTTTATTGTAAGAACGAGAGCTACCACATAGAGTGGACGAAGGAGATCAAGAAAATCAGATGTGTAACATCTGATCCAACAACACTAATCGAAAAACTTCACAAAGATGTCAGAACATTCAGTAATCGATGGCCGTTTGACGAAAGATCATTTATCAAATCGTCAATACCCACTTCTCAATGGTTTCATTTATTTCTTACGATGATTTGTCACACACCTGACACCATAACATTACCGTACGATGATATGTTCAACGAATGTCGTTCATACTATAAGAATAATCAATCAGTGCTGAGAGATATCAATTCGTTCGCCGAAAACCATAAACCAGTGGATCCAATTAAACAATACACAAGGAATGGTTTTCTGTATCGTATTCTCAATCATGCTTTACGTACACGAAACATGGGACTTATCAGGATATTCAGCCCGTTTATCCGACACTTACATGGCCAGTTGTGGAAACGTCAGTCAGCATATTATAAAAATTTGGACAAAGAACAATTGATTCGGAGTGTTTACCGAGGACAATATCTAACTGAAGAACAAGTGGATCATCTTTATTCAGTTTGGAACTCCAATCATCCTATTATCACTTTGACCACATTTGGTTCGACATCAAGGGGGCCGAATGTTGCATTTAGGTTTGCACTGCCTGAAAATGGTGTCGTTTCTTGTTTATTTGAGATCATCATCACTGACAATTGCTGTGACTCGACAGAAAGCTGCTTCTATGAAGCACCAGTCTTCGCAGATATTACTTCAATCTCTGAAAAGAGGGATGAACGAGAAGTACTGTTTTCTCTTGTTACACGTTTTCGTATAATTCAAATCGAACGACAACGAATGGAAAACAATGACTCCCTGCTTGTAATCATCTTGAAACCAGCGGAGCCCGAAGATATGCAGAATAAATTTTCTGCTTCCAGTATTATCGAAGAATTTAAGAAGCTAGAAGATGCGCAAGTCTATAAGGATATTCTAGACATGTTACAAGAAACTGCGGACGAAGAGACAAAATTCAACAGTACAAACTGGACAGTCTGGTGGAATAATCTGAAAAGTCAATGGCACCAAGGTGTCAGAGATAAATCACCACTCAATCTGATATTCTTTGGGTGTTTTACCAACAGTCTAAAGTGGTCCAGAAAAGCAATCGACATGCATAAGGATAGTCTACGTACCGTTCCAAGTATTGAATTAAATCGATCTTGTTTTAGAAAACTATACGAATGGTCTAATGCACTTAGGACCCCAGTACCAACGAGATGGCTAGCTTTGTACGAAGAATATCTGGAAAAGTTATGTACAACAAACACGAAAGAAGCGAGAAATACAGTGAAAACTGCTGCAGAAACGTATGAAAAGATCGGTGACACCGCACATACAAACAGCTGTTATGAAAAATTATTGGCACTAATAGGTGATACTAATACAAAGATGAAGAAAGAAATAGAAAAGAAAGTCAAACGCTTAGAAAATCCTTCTGCACCGACAGAGAAAAAAGGTTCCAGACCTGAACCGATTGTTCCGTACAGAGAACCGTCGAAGGTGTATAAAATGCAAGAACAACTGTGGATGATATACGAGTCTCTGAAAGACTGTGCTGATGATCCGAATTCAATCAAAGCGTGTTTTACTAAGGTGAATCGATTACTTCGACTGGCTGCTGAATCGTACGATGCAGGTGACTCGCGAATCATTCTCCGAATGCCAGTCATCGAAAATGCGGGACTGTCTGTGAATGACTATCGCTTCTATTGCCTTTTATCTACCGAAAGACATACGGAAAAACTAGCTATCGTGATCAAAGATGGAAGTAATAATCATGAGCTGACATTATGGCGTTATGAGAAATATATGCATGGATGGATATTTCTCGGACAACTGAAGCATTGCTTGGTTTTGTGCAAAGGATCCCAAAGTGGTATTTCTTTAATTGATCGACTAATGAAGAAACTGAATGTTGTTCTGACAATGTGCGCGATTTACTTATGCGTTAAACCGCGCAGCAAGAAAGTGAATGTGGACGGGATGAAGTTCGTGAATGTGATCGACGAGGGAACAAAGCAACATATTTTCGGTGATATTTTCGATGACAATCTGTTGGCTAAGCTACAAGCACTGGAACAAGAAATTATTACCGGTAGTGGAAGTTACCAGCCGATTTCTGATAGTTATAGAGAATCGAAATTAGATCCGACTACGATGGAACCAAAAGACGTTTTCTCTGATCCATGAATCTTGTGATTTCTGAACGTTTTTTTTTACTTTGGCGAATAAAGAAAGCATTCCCATAAAGCAGGTATACAAACACTTATGAAATGATGAATAGTAGAATATTTGTCAAATTCAAAGATAGAAACTAATGTGGATAAATCACCGATCTAACATTGCAACTTATCTATCATGTTTGAAGAATGCGTCAATGCATGTGCATCATCTCGAAAACGCCTGTATGTGTGTATACTTATATCATAAGGAATGATACTGTATATATTGCGAGCTTCAACACTCGGATTGACCGTCATGTAGCAGTTTTCTTGAAAGTTATCATATATAAGACGGTCTATCTATCGAAGATTATGACCAGGATCCATTCCTAGTAAGAGAACCAAGTAATGCCATAAAAGAGGGACGTAATAATGACTTTGCTCATGTTATGGCGATACAAAGAATGTATGCATGGATGGATGTTTCTTGGACAACTAAAGCATAATATGCCACTATGTCACCAATTCTCACGTAATATCGACCAAATTGACCGCTCGATGAAAACTCGATATTCTTGTCACAATGTGCAAGATTTATTTGTGTTATACCATGCAGTAAGAGAGTGAATGTGGATAAAATGAAGTTTATCTGCATATATCCTGGTCGTTACAGAGAAACATACTTCGATTAGAGTGCGCTGGAAGAAACGACTTTTTTTTCTGATCCATAGATAATCTAGTGTGATTTGTGAGAGAGTCTATTTTTCTGTTGCTAAAAATGAAATACGAACAATAACCAGATGTGGAAGAACAGAGAAATTCTTTCTCTTACTATTCAATATGGATAATTAAACATCAGATAGAAACAAAACAGAACTGATATGTCTGTCGATGTTACTATAAAATCACGCATATCTTGATACTTTCATTCACTTTTATCATGTCTGAACATATAGATGGTTCTCGCTTGGATACCGATCTTCGCTATCGATTCGACTATTTATCCAAGTTTCTCAACTTCACTTCCGATGACATCACTGCGTTAAACACCCTCGCTCGTGTCGCCACACCGTTGATCAACTCCGTGGCTGAAATCATCTATCAGAAACTATTAGAATATGATATCACGAAAAACTACTTTCTTCGCACTACTCATGACTTCAAAGGCGCAATGACGACCGATGGAAATCAACTCACACTTCAGTCCGAACAGATCTTGTTTCGAATTCATAGCATTCGCAAATATCTCTGTCGAATCTTACGACAATCGACATGGAATGATGCATTTCTCGAATACATCTCGAACGTCGGCAAAATTCACACAAACTTAGCTGGAACACATTCGATCGATGTCGATTACATACACGTGAACGCTTTGTTCGGATATTTGGAACATGTGTTGATCGATGGCGTGATTCATCATGATGAAATCGACGAAAGACGGAAGAACGAAATCATCATAGCTTTGAACAAGTTATTCTGGATTCAAAATGACTTCTTCTCTATGCATTACATCACTGCATCAAAAAGTGAAACTACAGATAAAACAAACAAATAACACGAGATAGTATTTTTGACATATTCTACATAATTGAACAAATGTTGTTTCAGTCCAAGCTTTAGATGTGTTTTTTTCTGGTATATGTACTTATTTATGACTGAATGAATAACATGAATAACCTATTAACATCGGCTCTTTGGTATATGTATATTCGTATACGTGGAACAGAACTCATTATTTGCACACAAATGTTGTTTTTTGTCGATATATGTACTTGTATGACGTTAAGTTTTTTTTTGTAATATTGGCATTAGAGAGAAAGAGAGAGAGGAAAGCGCAAATAATTGAGAACAGAACGAAAGAATTTGAAAGCAGAAATTAATACATGAATAATATCGAATCAATGCGAAGTGTATAAAAAGCGATGAAAACACGTTATTCATGCACTATTCAGACTTCGTTCCTTTCGAATACCTGTGACACGATATGCATCTCACATTTACAGGTAAAATTTTGAGCATAACCTCTTCTCCTTCTACTACATTTAGTTTTATGTAGTATTTTGCCTTTTGATCGCTCATGTCATCTGCTATCCATCAGTACGGAATGTGGAAGTTGATGACGACAAAAATAACGAAGATCTACAATTAGAACTTCGTTCAATTCTGAATTATCTTGACAATGAAGAAGCCGAACGATCAATTTCATCAAGTGAGCGAACTCTTTTTTCCCTTATCCATTCCTTTCTTCATCGACTGATTCTCATAGGTCAAAGCGATTCGAGCGAAGATGACGGTGTATTCACCAAACGAAAAGATAATTACAATGTAATCAATCCAGAATTAAAATGTGGAATCGAATGTGTCGGAAAATTACGAAATCCTGAAACAGGAAAAGGCTTGTCAGTTGGCGAAGCCACCAAAGCTTGCAACAAAATTTGCGGTGATTTATTCAGACATAAATAAACTCTCGAATGAATAAATTTTAATGACTTTGATTATTTTCTAATTCCCAATAAAACATCTCTCGACATATTCATCAACTTTTTGTTCGTACAAATATTGACATTTATCAGAGAGAGAGAGAGAAAATTATTCGTAAATGTCAGATCTGTTTTAATGCAGATATGTGTGAAGCATAGGGTGGACATTATCAGTACGTAAATAAATCATTAGAATAGTGATTACTTCGCGTCGCAAATGAATGTATATGTGAGAAAAAGTTTGTCAAATATCTTTATGGATATTCGAAGTGAATATGGTGTAGATCGTTGCCGTGACAACGTGAAAATAAGCATATCAATAATGAGAAACGTTTTCATTAAATAGTGCAATATGCTCGACATGAAATATATTTTCTTTCATCTTTTTACATATTGGATCGTAGCTATGTTGAAAAGGTATATTCGATTGCCGTATAACGTAAACGGCTTTTTTATGCTCATTTGAGATCTACCTGTATGATTATGAACCCGAATGTTGGAAAATATGAATTTATTTGATGCTGAAATTTCAGCGACTTTTCAATTAACTGAGCATTGTAATGAGAGAATGGACTGACGTTTGAGTATTTCTCATGTCATGAAGGATGAAAAGAGTGGTCAAAGGTCAATAGAGACGATCCAATATATTTTGATCTCGATCGGCAAGAGCAAAGAAGAATACGAGACCACAAGCAACCATTATCGTTTTGCTTTGTCTATATAGCCGCATGATTGCGACATCTTTGGAAAACATTGAACGTCAAGACATCGAAATTATAAACCTTTCTTTGAATGGTTGCAAAACTTCCGAACGTGTTTCATTTCGTCATATTATGGACATCTACCCAAATCTCTTTGTAAATAAGTTAACAATTGTACAACTAACAAGCAATGACGTTTGAGATGATTCATATCCCTCCGTATATAAAGACATTGCTTGCTGTGTTTCCAATCTGCAAAAGCATGACATCGACTTCAGAAAGAATCACAGAGAATTACCAAGGCTTCATCAGCCCCAAAACGGTTGCAAATCATGAGCAACTTCTCATGGACATGTCATTGCATGGAACCATTCAACCAGCTCGACGTTTTGCTCTTAAATATCGTGTATTACCATGCACCATGGTCAGCAATGCGTATTCTACTCAAATTGACGATAATACCGTTGTATACACTTTTCATACACCCAGGTAAAAGCTTGAAAGGTGCAATTGTCGATGACAGAAATTTTCTTTTCAGTGTAGTCAAGTATTTACTCGATCAATATCAAATTCACAATATATGTACGAACGAAAAATCTCTTTTTATTCTGATCTATACCTTGATTTGAATGATTATTTGTCTATATTCATATCGGGTGGGAATGTATCTCTTGGAGAAATGGATAATCCATTTGGTTTCCAACCAGATACAGATAATGGTAAGTTTGGTCCGATCTTTGCATTGTAAAGGTGGAAAACATGTACATTGATAGATCTTTTATGTTCCAAAAGTGGTTGAGCAGGCTCACTCTTTGTTGGATCAGTTACACCGATATAAACTGTCTTCAGTAAAAGAAACAAGTTTGCAAATGGTTTGTTACAATCCTCAATCGGGTTTTTATACTTCATCAATTTCGATTAAACGGCCATTAATCAAAGATTTATGTCTTAACTATGGAGAACAATTTATTGAAGTGCATGAAAAATTGCTAAAACGACTCAATGAAACCGATTCAACTGGTATTACTTTCTTACATGGGCCACCGGTATAAATTCTGCATCGTTGTTTATTGAAATAATCTTTTGGTTCTTTCAGGGAACTGAGAAAACTTATTATATTCGCTATTTAATTCACGAAATTAGTGAGAAAATGTTGATCTATATTCCACCAGATTTAGTGACGGCAAGTACGTGTTTTGCAAATTGGCTTGTCTGAAGGTGATTGTTTGTTAAGGAAATTTCGAAACCTGGCTTGTTGCCATTTCTAATGCAGTATCAAAATTCAATTTTGATTATCGAAGATTCGGAGAATATCACACTTGATCGTAAAGAAAGTGTCAATCCCAATCAAGCTGTTAGCAATCTGCTAAATCTTAGCGATGGATTTTTAGGTGATGCAACGCATCAGCAAATAATTGCGACATTTAATTGTGAAATCAAAAACATCGATCCCGCTTTATGTCGCGAAGGACGTTTATTAGCTGAACATAAATTTGATAAATTATCAGTGGAAAATAGTCAACGTTTATCGAAAGAATTGGGCATTGAAAAAGCAGATCAAATTCAAATACCAGTGACTTTAGCGGAAATTTATGCGAAGAAAATCTTGTAAAAATTAAACTTACATTTGATTCGTTTCATGTTCTGTTTTATATTCTGTCAGTTTACTGCATTGAATAAAACTATTTCCTTCGGTATCGTACATCTTTTCAGAGGAACGATATGGTTGAGATACAGGATCAAAATTGGATTATTCTATAAGGAAAGCATTGTAATAAACGATTAGTCACCACCAGGTACATTTTCTCATGCATGCGATCTATGAAAGATAAGTAGACCATTAGATGACAAAGTTATTTGATGCTAGTGTTTTATCATGTTGATACGTAAAATTTGCAATGAAAAGATGATGCATGCTACCTGTTATTATTTTTAAATGAGTGTTGCGTAGATATAAACTAAGACAAAACAACAGCTTTTTTCTTTTGCTGATTTAGTCGAGTTTATTCGCTTTTCTATTGTCAGATGCATAGTAACAAAGCATATATCCAATATAATATTCGGAATATTCGATCGTTAAAATGCTGGCAACATCCTCGACTCAGAATCATTTGTATTGGTTTCATAATAGTAGCAATAGTTGCTATTACATTAGGTCTTCTACTAAGGTTTGTCTTTCTTGCTCCAAAAAAATCGGACAATACCAGTAGCACAATGCTATCGTCCACATCTACGTTTACGACAATATTAACGTCAACGTCGACATTAACAACTACTCTTACCAAGAAGCCTGGTAAGTGATAAAATAATCTAGATTTATTCATTGCACGAATTGTACTGTCTAGGATGGTCGATTGCTGGTAATATGAGTGCTGTACGATACCAACACACTGTCTCTTTACTGGAAAACGGAAAAGTACTAGTGGTCGGAGGAATTCAAAATTCTTCTATTCTTGATGTTACTGAACTGTACGATCCAGTCGCACAACGCTGGATAACGACGGGTGTTATGAATGATATGCGCCATGCCCACATAGCAGTCGTATTAAGAAATGGCAAGGTACTGGTGGCTGGTGGATTTAATGGTAGCGATTTTTTAAATACTGCAGAATTGTATGATCCATTGACAGGAATATGGACGATGACTGGTAGTATGAAAAATGCACGAAATTACGCTGCAGGATCGATTTTACCTAATGGAAAAGTACTGATCAGTGGAGGATATGATGGTGACAATATTTTAGATACTGCAGAAATATACGATCCATCAATTGAAGCTTGGACCATTACTGGTAATATGAATAATGCACGAGACGGACATACGACTTCTTTATTGTCGAATGGAAAAGTATTAGTTACCGGTGGATTTGCTAAGCATGTATTCGAAAATACTGCTGAGTTGTATGATTTTACAACAGAAAAGTGGACACAGATTAGTAGCATGAAAGATGGACGAGATGGGCATACAGCAACACTGTTATCGAATGGAGAGGTCCTAGTTATTGGTGGATATTATGGCAGTAAAATATACAGTGGTGTGGAATTATATAATTCATCAAGTGGTTATTGGAAATCGGTTAGTAATATGCATTATGGAAGAAGGAATCATGAAACGGTCTTATTAAACAATGGCAAAGTATTAGTTAGTGGAGGATCGAACGGTACCATAGCTATAAAAAGTGTGGAACTATATGATCCTTCTACAAATGTATGGACAATTATTCACGATATGAATTATAAACGAGAATACTATGCAGCGTGTTTGCTTCCTAATGGAAATGTCTTAGTGGTTGGCGGATTTGATGGCAGCCATGAGTTAAGTAGTACTGAGGTATATACTCCATAATTACCAATGGCAACAATAATAAAATCGTAACTACGTTGCTGTAATGCTTTAGAACATTACTTGCAATCATAGTTAAATACTGTTTTGCTGGCTCAAAATGTAATCTAAGTGCATTTTTAAAAAAGCATTCAATACTTAAATATAAAATAAAATAATCCGCTTGAGTTTTACAGTTAGCAGTGTTAGCTTCCTTCAGGATGCATATGGTAGATTTATTAACGAAAAAATATAAAATGAGCTGCCAGATAGTTGTTTGTAATCTATTCATGACATTGAAAAATGGACTTTATACGATTGTTACACTTTTTTTGTTTTGGAGTTAACGCTTTGTTAATATACAACCAGTTCACAGGAACAGAAAATCATAGAAAGAAAAGGAGAGAAAAAAATAACAACGGGCGGACTGGTCATAAAACTGGCAGAAGAAAATAGAGACCATTGACTTTTGTCTTATGTCTCGTAGAGAGAGAGTGTGAGTGGTGTTGGCTGTTTCGTTAGCTGTTGTTTAGCTTCCATCGATTTAAACATATCTTATGAATATCTACTGAACGGAATATTTCATGAATTTAGATGCAAACACCAACGTGACACAGCATCAAATTACGAATAGTATCGTCTTAAACTTGATTGTCAATATGGGTTTACCATTAGCAATTTTGAACAATGTCTCTTTTAGAACGTTCATGAATGATATTGATCCACGTTATCAACCTGTCTGTAGACGTGATGTTACTCGATCTATTCTACCAGATTTAGAAAAACGATGTGTATCGAAATTAAAAGAAATATGGGCTAAAGCACCATACATTAGTTTAACTCTTGACTGCTGGTCAGATCGTCGTATGCGAACATATTTCGGTATCACTTTGCATACAATAGTCGATGATAAATACAAATCATATTTTCTTTCATTCGAAACATTACATGGAAAGCATTCCGGAGAAAAGCTGGCGGCTGAATTTGATCGATCATTCAAACTTATGACTTAAAAGATAAAATTGTCAATATCAAAGTCAGCGCGTGACTTTTTATTACTCGCTTTCGTGAGTCATCAAAGTGTCAGCACATACCATTTGTAATAGTTATTTCGCTTGCGGATAACAGTTATCCATACCTTATTTCATTCATACGAACAGTTAACTTACTGAGGAAGTTCTTTTTATTTCCAATCAAATTCTTATTCTTGCCCTTTCATTACGTATCAGTCATTATCAATATTCCTCGAAACATTGCCGATATCGATCACTGATCAAGACATGCGTGGGTTCGTGGCCAATGTATCAAATATGTGAATAGTGATTAGAGCTTTGACTTTTTTCAATGTAATAAAGTATGGATCAGATCAGATTGTATAATAAAATATAATTGTATATGTGAACCAGATTCAGTATGTCTTGGTATCACTATTGGCAATCGACCGATATGCGTTTGTCCTTTACATCGATTCGGATCGCCATGTTTTCTTACGAATACTGTTTGTGAATCTTCACCATGTTGAAACAATGCAACATGTATCTCCGACGATGAGTATAACGAATCTCCTTGTACGTTTAAATGCCAGCAGTGTCCAAGGACTCAGAAAAGACAGTTCTTAACCTCCCTTAACAAACTATGAAAAACCCTCAAATTCCTCGAGGAACTGGAATATAACCAATAGATCCCTCATGTTTCCTCCACATTTCCTACCTAATTCCCTATAGTCTCAAAACTAATCACTTAATGCACCATTACCATCTAATCCCACTTCCTCCACATTTCCTTATTACCTCCCATAGGAATCAACCCCACGATAACACCTAGATACGGAATCGACGAAATGACCAGAAATGATCATCAATGCCTATCAAAGGAAACGACAGCCCTTACACAACAACTAACACTAACACAATTCAACCCAGCTGCAAATAATCATATTCATCCACAGCGATACACACCACCACGACGCATCCCATCCTACGTACCCAGCTTCCGACAGCATTTTTCCCTAGGAAACGAGAAACTGACGGTCCTACACATGCCTCCTACGAATATTTCACTCAAAGGCAGAAGGACAAAAACGGTGAAAACGAGGATTTGTCTCATTTCTGCTGATAATACCACGGGAATGAAGATGGTACCAGCATGGTACCTTCAATAGTTCGTCGGAGGAATCGAGCAATTGATCCTTGCATGAACAGATCATGGCGATATATTACGAAGAGAGAGAACAAAAACAGTGGTGGAAAAGAGTATTCGTCTCATTTCTGCTAATAATTCCACGGGAATGACGATGGTACCAGTATGCTACCTTCAATAGTTCCTCGGAGGAAGCGAGGAATCGATCCTTGCATGAAGACATGATCCAAATATTAAAACAAGAGAGAGAACAAAAACAGTGGTGGAAAAGAGTATTCGTCTCATTTCTGCTAATAATTCCACGGGAATGACGATGGTACCAGTATGGTACCTTCAACAGTTCCTCGGAGGAATCGAGGAATTGATCCTTGCATGAAGAGATCATGGCGATATATTACGAAGAGAGAGAATGAAAAAAGAGGTGGAAATGAGGATTTGTCTCATTTCTGCTAATAATTCCACGGGAATGACGATGGTACCTTCAACAGTTCCTCGGAGGAATCGAGGAATCGATCCTTCCATGAACAGATCATCGCGATATTATAAGAAGAGACAGAATGAAAAAAGTGGTGGAAATGAGGAATTGGCTGATTTCTGATGATAATCCCACGGGAATGAGGATGGTACCAGTATGGTACCTTCAACAGTTCCTCGGAGGAATCGAGGAATTGATCCTTGCATGAAGAGATCATGGCGATATATTACGAAGAGAGAGAATGAAAAAAGAGGTGGAAATGAGGATTTGTCTCATTTCTGCTAATAATTCCACGGGAATGAAGATGGTACCAGCATGGTACCTTCAATAGTTCGTCGGAGGAATCGAGGAATTGATCCTTGCATGAACAGATCATCGCGGTATTATAAGAAGAGACAGAATGAAAAAAGAGGTGAAAATGAGGATTTGTCTCATTCCTGATGATAATACCACGGAAATGAAGATGGTACCAGCATGGTACCTTCAATAGTTCGTCGGAGGAATCGAGGAATTGATCCTTGCATGAACAGATCATCGCGGTATTATAAGAAGAGACAGAATGAAAAAAGAGGTGGAAATGAGGATTTGTCTCATTCCTGATGATAATACCACGGAAATGAAGATGGTACCAGCATGGTACCTTCAACAGTTCCTCGGAGGAATCGAGGAATTGATCCTTGCATGAAGAGATCATGGCGATATATTACGAAGAGAGAGAATGAAAAAAGAGGTGGAAATGAGGATTTGTCTCATTTCTGCTAATAATTCCACGGGAATGACGATGGTACCAGTATGGTACCTTCAACAGTTCCTCGGAGGAATCGAGGAATTGATCCTTGCATGAAGAGATCATGGCGATATATTACGAAGAGAGAGAATGAAAAAAGAGGTGGAAATGAGGATTTGTCTCATTTCTGCTAATAATTCCACGGGAATGACGATGGTACCAGTATGGTACCTTCAACAGTTCGTCGGAGGAATCGAGGAATTGATCCTTGCATGAACAGATCATGGCGATATATTACGAAGAGACAGAATGAAAAAAGAGGTGGAAATGAGGATTTGTCTCATTCCTGATGATAATACCACGGAAATGACGATGGTACCAGTATGGTACCTTCAGCAGTTCCTCGGAGGAATCGAGGAATCGATCCTTCCATGAACAGATCATCGCGGTATTATAAGAAGAGACAGAATGAAAAAAGTGGTGGAAATGAGGAATTGACTCATTTCTGATGATAATTCCACGGGAATGAGGATGGTACCAGTATGGTACCTTCAATAGTTCCTCGGAGGAAACGAGGAAGTAATGTTTGCATGAAGATGTCATCGGGATATTCTAGTGAGAAAGATTGAAAGAAGTGCGATTTTTGTGTGGCTTTTATGTTAAATTAAGTTCAGTTGTTGTTGGAGTGGTTTGCTATTTGATCAATAGATGGCGATACGCATGAACGCTTAATGCAGTGTATGTTTGGAGGGCAAGAGTTTTAGCGTGGTTTTTAATTGGCTCACGTGCTTTTTGTCTGTTCGGTGGTTTCGGTGTGTGTGCACGTTCAGTTCTTTGTTGACGTATTTATCTAAAGATTAGATTCTTTTTGTTTGGGTTTATTGAAACAAGTTGTATTTGTGTCTGGTGCAGTAAGTTTGCTGGTTTTGTTGGGTCGGAAAGTTGATGATTTTTGGCGGTTCTTTTTGAATTTGGTGGATAGATTTTGGTACGTGCGCTCCTGTGTGACGATATTGTCATCGTGGAAGTTAATTAGTTCTTTTTATGATGCCGAAGCAAAGGTCGAAGTTTGAAGAAGCGGTGGTTAGTCATTTCGATCGGTCGTTTCATGAGATCACTACAAATAATCAAATCGAACTGCGTTATGTATTATCTCCATTTCTTCATAATATGCTGTTGTATCATTCGAAACATTACGAAATTGATTTTATTGGCTACACATATGAACTTTTGGGAATAACGTCTTATTACTTGAAATCTTCGTTTATCTATCGTTATGAATTATGTGAAACCCCATCTCCGACGCACTTTTATCAACTTTTGGTGGCTCTGTCTGGTAAGAGCATTCTCAAATGTTTGTTTAAGGAATGAAATATGTTTTTTTCTTGTAGCATTCGGAAAGTCAACTTTACATACTTTACTGAAATCTGCGGTGATGAATGAATACAGTGTTCGAACAAATGGTGCTATGTACGATCATCGTAAATCTGGTGTTCTTGATGGGTTCGACGCATTTATCGATGAAACAACCGCTGCTGGGTTGCAAGATAGTCTTGCTAAAGGTCATAAAATGATTTTCTCCGATGAAGGAGAAAATCTATTAAAAACCAACGGCATTCTCGTGGATGATTCATCGCCGGCGGCCTCAAGTTACGATTTACACAACTTCGTGTTGTCTTATTATGTAAGCGTAGGTGTTACGTATTTGACCACGATTCAATAATATTTTTAGGGCTCCATTCGAGTTTTTAATAAACAGCTCAAATCCGGAGCTTTAGCAGCAAATATGGGTCGATTAACAATTAGTTGCTTGTCAACAACCGAACCCATAATTCGAATGCTATCACGTCGATTCAGTGGTGGTCCAACTTCTCCAATGCTAGAAAGATTTGCTGTGTTGTACGCTACAACGAAGCCAAAGTACTCATTCCAACGACCACAATCAATAAATCCCAAAATGATGTCATTATCACAATTTGTAATGGTATTAAGTGAAATGTAAGTAAACTGATATCAATGTTATGATAGCGAATAGACATAGGAATTCTTGTTGAACTTTGACATGAAGATTTTTTCGCGTGCTAAATCTGATTAACGTATCATTTATACGACACATAAAAGAGCAGCTTTACAGAAAATATTCAAAAGAGACATCCAATTTCTTCTATGGCTTTTGTGCCAAATATATCCTTCTTCAAAGTAGGATCGGTTTGTTTACACAATTAGTCTTTACACGAATAAAAGATTTTTAAGCTTTTTATCCACAACGAGGTCTTTATTTGATAATTAACACGTATTATTTGTAGTGAAATGTCTATTCATTAGAATAGAAAAATAGAAAAAAATCTATCGTTCCTTTTAGGTTGTTTTCACCCTCATAGCGAACAATAGATAAAATTTTTTTTTGTAGTAATGATATTGATTTCTACTTCGATAAAGAAGCAGAAGATTTGTATGCATCATATGGTGATACATTGACCTACGTCAGTAAGTGCAGAATCATTTTTTTGTTGTCAAATTGAGTGATTTGGATTTTCTTCCTTTAAGTGAAAGAACACGAAAGATCGTCACCATGGCTAAGTACACGATATGGGAAGAGCCGTGATCATGCGCTGCGATTATGCGCGCTCCTACAAAGTCTCGAAATGGCTGCCGTCGTATGTCATGACTTAATTCTTGAAGAACCATCATTTGGAAATGGCGTTGCAGATAAGAAATTCTTAGACGCTGCTGTTGCAAAAACAAAACAACTTTTCTATCCAACATCTGCTGTTGAAAGGAAACTATCCATTAATGTTGAAGTAGTTCGTGGTTCAATTTATTTAACGAATAAAATCATCGAACAATATCAACAAATGTTTGAACCAAATAAAAAAGAGATCAAGCAAGTGACATATATAGTTAATTCGATGCTTTTCGTGTCTAATTCTGTTAGTTTTTTTAATAGTCGGATGGAATCATCATTATTAAATGAAATAAGTTTTACTGAACCAAAACGACCTGGTGCGAAAGAGAACCATTACACTATTGATCATACAGCACACGATGTTCAACATCAGACGCAATCGACATCAGGCAAACAAAGCAAAAAATTAACAAAAAAAAATGTGCGTGAAAATGAAGCTGCGGCTGAAGTTGTTAATACATTTGACGCAAGATCTCCATTTGGCAAAAAAATAATCAAAGCTATTCTCGAAGTTGAATCGGCAGTGCTTATCAAATCAACTTTATCAAAACATACAACACTCAAAAACTATACACCGTACATTGAACTAGCACTTAAACATGTGTTGGATGATTTATTGATTGAATTCAAATCTGGTGCCGTCGTTACTTCGAATCAACACCGAACCTTGCCTGTTTATATCAAAAAAATGGTTTCGCCGTCATGTGGTAAAGAAAATTTGGGTTTATCTCAGATACTGAAGACATTTGATGTCGAACATGCAAATTACGTTTCAACATGGTGGAATATAATTTTAACTCCAACGATTACTTTGAGTGAAGAAGTTTACGATCTATTAAAATCTGAACCATATGCCACATTTATTACTGTGCCAATCGACCAATGGGCGCCAGCATCTAGAAAACAAATGTCTTCTATCACTCGGTAAAAATATTATTCAAAATATAAAGCAGTCTATATTTGAAGATCAGTTTTGGTGAAGCTCTCTATTCTGTAACAAATCATACATATGAGATCTAGAAGATTGTTGTTTAAAGCTAGGAGTTATTAAATATTGTCTATAGTTAATTGAGTTTCGACCACTCAGCTATTGATTGAAATTTTCATGACAGACACATTTCTATTCTTACAAATATCATATTACCGATGTCAGTATAAACTACTGTATTATTCTAGTGTTAATCAAAACCAAACAAATGATCGCACTGAACGTATGCAAGCAGTGACTTCTTCAACTCATGATCATGCGATTACAGTGAGTAAAATCCTTCTTCCGAACGTGTTTCAATTGATACCATTAATGCTTTCTTTTGCTGTAGACGAAAAAAAATGCATTGTACTCATCGGATAGCAGCACAATTAGTATGAACGATGAAAATACAATTGATGCAGATTGTGGCAAAGACGGTTCAGCCTCAAGTATCTCCACGATCACTCACCAACAACGACTTCATAGTACGACTGATGGAATAAATGCAGATGACAATGATATTCAACAAGAAAATTCAAACTGTGGACAAAAAAGGAATGCACCCATTACAACAACAAATCAAACACTACCATTGTTACCAACAGCAACAAACTTAATGTCTACACGACAACCACCTTCCAAGAAAAAGAAGAAATGAATATGTACAATGTTAGTGTTCATAGTTTGATACCGTTCTTTTCTCATTTTTAGGATATTTCTTCCACCTTTCACGTGCGTGTAGTCCTATCGTTCAATAATATTTCCATTTCTTGAAATAATGTAATCGTTGTATATTTTTGTTGTTATGTCTTTCTCAAACCAGTTTATTTTCGTTAATTCTTCTCTCTTTTTTCCTGATAGAACGCTGTTTTACCATCGATATTCAAGCTGCGTTTTTTCTTTGACTATTGATTCTTTTCTTTATTGTAATAGCTCCGGTTCATGTTAGGTCTACAGATGTGTAAGAATATGCACGATTTACATCAAAATCAGTATGATGGTGTTTAGTATCATCAACTTTCCATGTTGTCTTTTTTCTTTGCCTATGTTGTGTGTTTCTTTAAGTGCGTTGATTTCTTTTTTTTGTTGAAACTTGATAGATTAGGACTTGTGAAATGTTATTGAAAATAGATGAATAGATGATTGAAAAAATAAATAAAAATACTTTATTCTAATGACAAAATAAATGGAACAAATATCAAGCACTTTCATTTCAGATCTTCTTTTTCCATTGTTATTTTGAATATGAATTATATGCCAAACAAAGAACCAACGTCCCAGTATCACCATCTCCCGATTCCATCACCGGGCTTAGTATCCTGCAGAACATTTGACGACCTTTTCAATACATCCGAACTTGTTTTCATCGAACGGGTCAACAATTATTTGCACAATTCAACTCCTAATAAAGAAATGCACATTGCAAAAATTTGTTCAAACACCTTTGGACGCTTAATCGATGAAGATATGATCGTTTATGTTTTAAGTTTGTTTAAAAATGGTTTTTTACCGAAATTTGATGTGTATTCAAATGTTAGTGCTATTATCAATGTAAGTGTACTATCTTTATGTACTGACTCATCTTTAAACTTAGTCTGATGCTCTCGTGCATGACTTTTCATGAGTTGAAATGAATACGATAAGTAAAAGACGTTCATAAAGCTTCTTTCCAAGTATAGAGATTGAGTTGAATGATTTTCAGAATAATCTTTACCCATTTGAGATTTCAATAATGGCTATTTTCTTTGATTGCATTATCATAGGCTATTCTTCATGAATTTGATAAAGCGAAAGATCAGCTTTCTTTGAATGTTCGAGCACAGCTACAATTATTTTCATTTTCGTTTTAATAAAGAGTCTCACACGATTCCGTTTTTTTATTTTCAGATCTATGCTGCACAGAACAATTTGAACACGTTGAGCAACAATGTATTATCTCCTGTATCTGGAAAATGTTGCATTGAATGTGGCAAATATTTTTCTCGACTGTGTTCCAAAAAGGTGACAATTTATGAATTTGATGGAACAATTAATAATGGTTTAATTTTTTACTATTACTGTTCTCACACTAAGACAGAAAAATGCAAACAATCAGCAACAAAGCATTATCCGAATTTTATCTCATCAATTAATGGAAAACTTCTTACCAGAGAATCGTTTCAAAACACAGAGTATTTCCATATTGGTGGTGATGCCGTGTTTTCAAAAAAATTAATGTTGCAATTTGAAACTCTTCTCATTACATCTCATACAAATTTCCAAGGTTTTATCAATTCTTATAATTTATTACATGAATATGAATGCAACGACCATCGTTTCGCTGAACGTCGAATATTTTCTCAAATATGGATAACTTATCAAGTAATCACGTTGGCATTCTTTATGGGATATGATCAAATTACACTGGTATGAATCTTCTCCCATAGTACGATAAGTGATCTTACAGAAGACTACTACCGATTACTCATGACGATTTGTTGTTAAATTGATTTTCTTCTTTTCTTGCTACGTTACAAAAAGAAAAAAACTCTAAGTTAGTTACGACAAACAGAAATATTCAGAATCCGAAGTAACATGCACTGTTTGACGAATACTTCACCAAGTGTATACTAAACTTCTTTTAGAGAATGTTATTACATCTTGATTCATGGTGTTTTTTATTCGTTTCATTTAGCCATCTACTATGGATCGACAAGATAATGATTCATTCTTTTATTCAATATTTCAACCTTTGTATCCACTCTTCGTGAAATTTTGGCTGAATCATGCTGAATACAAACCTTGCAGTTTATATTGTTCACGTGCTTTGGTGGTCGATGGTAATCAAAAAATACGCAGAAGGATATGCCTTGATAAGACACACACAATTTCCACAGCAGAAATATCTTCGATTAACGTTGGTTGTGATCAAACCCCGTTGTACAAATCAATGTATTGTAAAGAACATTCGCCTAAAGAAGTATCACGATTATTGCCGAATTACAAACATATAGCCAACAATCCAATTCTCACATCGAAAGCTAAAGCAAAATCAAGAATCAACAAAACGAATCAACATTCACAAACTGTGATTATAGAACATGAAGCTATTAGTTGCTCAACTTTAAAGGAAAAGCCAAAAGCATATGTTGATAAATGTATGCGCTCCTTCGGCGTCGTTGTGTACACGACAAATTGCAATGTTACCGTAGCATTTAATGAAATCTTTAGATCCGAAACGATCAAAGAAATCCTGAATGGATTGATATCAATCGTAAACATCTCACCATCTCTTCCTCCATGCATTGTCTATGATGACGCCTGCCATTTGATACGTCGTTTAATTGATGGACAAGTAAAAAATGAATTTAATGTTACACCAGCCATCTTGTATCTTAATACAAAGACATACAACATAGATAGAATGCACCTCATTAATCACAGAGACAAATGGTGTCGGAAACATTTAGATCCTAAAACCAATCCATTATTGAACAATATCAACACTGAATCCTGCGAACAATTGTTTAGCTGGAATAACGGTTATGCCACTGCATTTACCAATATGAACCAATCACGTTGCCGCCTTATGATCTTAATCACGTTTCATTTACGAAATTGTTATTTAAAGAAGATCAATCCACATTCATTCGACACAGGAAAACTAATTGTTACAAAAAATCGACCTTTAATAATTTAGCCATTTTTTATGTACTTATCTTTTTCCATTTTCCTGTCAACGCCATTCTTATAAAAATACATACTTTATTATATGATAGTATCAGATACTTCTTTCAGTCAAATATCATATGATTTTACAAATTTTGTTTAGAAAATAAAATACATATTCTTCATTATATTCTTGTTTGACATCTTTTACATTCTCCAGGAGAGAGACTTTCTTTGCATTAATTCTTTATTGTTTACTTAACAGTATTTCAGATGCACCGAAAGCGTACACAGCCACCAAGAAAAACGACACAAATCACCGCGAAATCCGGACCAATCGGTCAGAAGAGAAAAGAATGTAATAAACGAAACGCCGACGACGTCTCATCAATTTCAACATCACCAGAGATTCAATCACCTGAACATTCAACCAACATTACACGGTCGAAGAAGTCATCAAAAGAAAAAAAGTCCACCAACAAACCCGATCAAGTGGATGATTCAATGGATAATGCACCACTCGCCGGTCGTATCAATACAAATGCATCCGGACCGCATTCAATAACAATCAATTTCACGAATGAAAGTGATCCGGAACAAGATGAATCGGCAGATTCTAATCAAGAAGAACCACACACACCACAATCTACCAACACCAACGAACACGATGAAATTTTGTTCACGGCAGCAAGACCAACCACAACAACCGATATTCTTTTCACAAACGAAGATATCAATCCAACAATGAACACCAATAACAATACAAACACGCAAAATCCAGTAATTATCCAGGACCTTTACGATCCTGTAGACGACCCAACATCATTAATGGAACCTCCAGTAAAAGATCCATTTCAATTCAACTTCACACACATACCTATTGTTAATCGACTTCGTCCACCGACTGTCATTTTACCGAGATCACATCCAACTGGACGGAAGTGAAACCAAACCAAAGTGTCTTTCCAAAAACTTAACTTTTTATCCACTTTCCTGTAAACGATTTTGCAGAATAAATCCTCACTCTCTCACTACATAAACCTAGCAACATTTTCATTCAAAAAAAACCCTTCCAAACCAAAACACCAAAAAACAATCAGTGAGCAATGCCACTAGTCATAAAAAAAACGTTCCCTATCTACCTCCGATACTCTAATCAGAGATTCCAAAGCATACACCATTCATATTTCACGATCATCAACATAAACCCACATAACTGCAATCAAAATCACCATCATGACTAACCAACAACTTCTCACCCGAACGCCCAATAAATTCATACATACCTACATCAATTCCTCGGTTCCTCTGGGGAAATGTTGAAGGTACCATTTAGGTACCGTCTTCATTCCCGAGGAATTATCAGCAGAAATGAGACAATTCCTCATTTCCACCACTTTCTTCATTATCTCTCTTATTTAAATATCTCGATCATGTCTTCATGCGAACATCAATTCCTCGGTTCCTCTGGGGAAATGTTGAAGGTACCATTCAGGTACCATCTTCATTCCCGTGGAATTATTACCAGAAATGAAACAATTCCTCATTTCCACCACTTTTTTCGGTCTCGCTCGTATGTTAATATGTCGATGATGTGTTCACGCATGGCTCAATTCCTCGATTCCTCCGGGGAACTGTTGAAGCTACCATTCAGGTACCATCTTCATTCCCGTGGAATTATTACCAGAAATGAAACAATTCCTCATTTCCACCACTTTTTTCGGTCTCGCTCGTATGTTAATATGTCGATGATGTGTTCACGCATGGCTCAATTCCTCGATTCCTCCGGGGAACTGTTGAAGGTACCATTCAGGTACCATCTTCATTCCCGTGGAATTATTACCATTAATGGAACAATTCCTCATTTCCACCACTTTTTTCATTATCTTTCTTATTTAAATATCTCGATCATGTCTTCATGCGAACATCTATTGCTCGATTCCTGCAAGCAATCGTCGAAGGTACGATCTTCATTCCCGAGGAATTATCAGCAGAAATGAGACAACTCCTCATTTCCACAACTTTCTTCATTACCTCTCTTATTTAAATATCTCGATATTGTCTTCATGCGAAGATCAATTCCTCGGTCCCTCTGGGGAAATGTTGAAGGTACCATTTAGGTACCATCTTCATTCCCGCGGATTTATCGGCAGAAATGAGACAATTCCTCATTTCCTCCACTTTTTTCATTATCTTTCTAGTTTAAATATCTGGATCATGTCTTCATGCGAACATCTATTGCTCGATTCCTGCAAGCAATCGTCGAAGGTACCATCTTCATTCCCGAGGAATTATCAGCAGAAATGAGACAACTCCTCATTTCCACAACTTTCTTCATTACCTCTCTTATTTAAATATCTCGATCATGTCTTCATGCGAAGATCAATTCCTCGGTTCCTCTGGGGAAATGTTGAAGGTACCATTTAGGTACCATCTTCATTCCCGCGGATTTATCGGCAGAAATGAGACAATTCCTCATTTCCTCCACTTTTTTCATTATCTTTCTAGTTTAAATATCTGGATCATGTCTTCATGCGAACATCTATTGCTCGATTCCTGCAAGCAATCGTCGAAGGTAC